CTGCCCATTCTTAAAGCCTCGTGATTCTTAACCCTCATTCCTGCAGCCTTTCATAGTTTTGTCGCAAAACCAAAGGCCGTTAACCTTTTACACACACACACACACACACGCACACCCATTTTAAAGCCGGAGCATACCGAGATCCTCCAGGTCCTGTACTGCCGTGAGTGGGCCACGGGCCTTTGACACTTGGGCACGCACAAAAGCCACGTGCTTCTTGCGTTCTGTCCATAACCCTCTTCCACCCTTGTTTCGAAAGCGTTAGCTCCACACTTCCAGCCCGTGCTGCAGCAAGGACAGCGCTCGGCTCCAGGACCCTCTGAAGCCTGCACGGCTGGAGAGAGTCCAGGCACGGATGTATGTGCTGGCATGCTGCTAGCCCTATAAGGATCGGCACCTGCTTCCCCCTTGTCCTTTTTAGCTTTCTGGAATGATAACATTTGCTTCGTGCGTCTGGCTCAGATTGTGACACGTAGCTGTGCAGATAGCCGGGCCGGTGCCAAGTTCAGAGGAGCAGCCGGGGACGTTACACAAGGGGATGGATCGTGGCGCCGCAGGGACGTACCTGCGCTTGGCCTGTTTGTCTCCAGTTGTGCTGCTGTTGCTGGGGGCAGGGTTGGCTCTGCATACATGGAATTTATTTGCTGTAGCTTGGTTTCAGCTCAAGGCTCGACAAGAAAAATGACTTGGGCTCTTACAGTAGCGGGAGCTCAGCAAACTGACACCTGGCCCTGAGAGAATATGTTCCATGACAGCCCGAGAGTATTCTCAGCGCCCCGAGCCTTTGATCCCATAGTGGGAGACACGTGACTGCAGTGGCAGGGGTAACTGGGGGTATCTGTGGGGTATGGACAATGCGGCACCAGCGGCTTTACCGAAGGGCAATAGCACAGCAGCAGAATTGGCTGCCGTGTGCAGGATTCCTGCAGGAGGACTCTGACCCCCGGTTCCCTAGTTCCCTTTTGGGGCCAAGAGCAGGGTTTAGGTTACCTCCTGCTTTCCCCTGTGCATCGGCTGAGCGGTGCCCTGGCTGCCAGGGTGTACGTACAGCGGGTCACGGAGCTGCTAATACTGGCGACGTGCCCCGCAAGCCTCGGCATTTCCAGCCCCTCCACAAAAACGGAGTTGTTAGACGGACGTCTCTTAGCAACCAGGACTCCTCGTCATTCTCCTCTCCCTGTTTCTCTGCCGCGGCTCAGCTGCGTTACCATGGTATTGCTACAGTCCTGGGAGCACTTACTGCTTCTGCTCATACAGCATCACGGCTGTACGGCCCTGGTTCGGACCCGTCTCCCGGCGGCGTCCCTCCTGCTCCGGGCCATGTCACTGCGGTGTTGCTCCGTTCGTGTCACTCCAGATCTGAGCCATCACCTGTGTTGCCCCAGCTCTGCACCGTGTTGCTGTGCCCCTGGGCTGCGTTGCTGCAGTGTGGCAATGGCATTACTCACATGTTTCAGCCCTTTTCTGAAGGATGTATTTACATTACACATGTTTGTATACATATAATCCGGTATAATAATGTCATACGTTGTAAGTGACTTACCTGCAGACTGCAAAGAGATACCCAGGAGGATTCCTCGGAGTCTGCCCTGGGTCTACCACTACACCATTTATTTTTTTTTATTAAGGACTTGGAGGATGGAATTGAGTGTATGCTTTGCATAGATGACACTCAGCTCGGTGGGCAAGCAAATGCTTTAAAGGGCAGGATTTGTTTTCAAAAAGACCTTGATCAATTGGAAAAATGGCCTGAAATAAATAGGATGACATTTGCTAACTGCAAAGTACTACACGTAAGAAAGGACAAGTCAATGCTCAGATGCAAAGTGGGAATCAACTGCCTAGGCTGCAGTGCAGAAAAGGACCTGGGAGTTATAGTGGAGTGCAAGTTGAGGATGAGTCAATTGAACAATCCTCCCCCGCCCCCAAATAATAGTGTACTGACATGCATGAATAGCACTAGCACGTGCAAGTTACAGGAAGCAATTCTTCTACTCTGCTTGGTACTGGTGAGGCCTTGTCTGGAGGACTCAACTCCAGGTATGGGCACCATACTTCAGGAAATAATGTGGACAAACCAGAAAGAGTCCAGAGAAGAGCAACAACAGTGATCAGAGGTCTAGAAAATGTGACGTATGAAGAAAGGTTAGAGAAGAACTGGGATTAGAGAAGAGAAGACTAAGGAGGGATTTTAAAGAGTTGTTATAAAGAGAATGGTGAACACAATTGTTCTCTGTGTCTACAGGGGATAGGACATGAAGTAATGGCCTTAAATTGCAACAAGGGAGATTTAGGTTGCATATTAGGAAGAACTTTCTAAGGACAGACATGGCTAAGTACTGGAACCGATTGCCTAGGGAGACTGAAGGGTCTCCAGCAGTGGACATGTTTAAGTGCAGCTTAGATAAAGAGTTGTTTTAAACAGGGTGGTTTTGGCTGGAGCAAGGGCTAGGACTAGATGATACCTCCTGAGAAGTCTTCCAACATAATCAGGGCTACCTGCTTACCCATGCAACAAGAAACCAGCGTTTCCACTTAAACAGGATGTTGTTCACGTCTCTAGAAGCTCACTTCTGAGTGATTAATAGAGGCTGGATTCAGATGGGGCCACCGCATATAGCATCTGTCCTTGCATGCAGAAGGGTAGCGCCATAGATATCCCTACAAGAGTTGTGCCACACAGAGCTAATTCCCGCTCTTCGAACATGGGGCGAATGCAGCCCAGACAGACGGCTGGACAAGCAGGCAGGCTCCTGAGGTGGGTGGGTGGTTGGCTGGACACAGCAGGCACCATCAGCACTTTGGTTCAATTCCATGGATCTCCATGAATTAGATGTTGTGGGGCTTGGCCCCTTTGTCTCTGTCCTTTGCCTGGACAGAGGGCCAGGAAACAGGAAGACAGGACTTTCATCCTCTCTTCTTCTGAAGGCACGCGGTCCATGAAGCACAACAGTGACCAGAACCTGCCCTGGCACATGCTGCAAGAACCCCCACATGTGGAAAGAGCCCCTCTTTGCTCAAGATACAGGGCAGTGGGAGATTGCAGGATCCAAACTTGGACCTTGCACGGGTATTTCTCACCTGGATGCAGCTGCCACCCCAAGGGCTCGCTGTGCTACAACCCACACTTCCCGCACCTGCTGGAGAACCTCAGAGCTAGCAGCTAGTGGGAGACCCATCCCCAAAATCTGGGGGATTGCTGCATTCGCTGCTGCTTTTTGTAGGTATCCCAAGGTCTTTGGAGGCTTCTGAGCTGCTACCCATATTATCTACTATGTAGTCCTTCCCTGAGTCAGGAGATGTCTCATCACAGCCACTGTCAGGGGAGCTGTATCTTGTTGCGTCTCAGATAACCTCAGGAAACACTGTTAAATCTTGGCCTTTTAAAACTCTTGATGATACTGGATTCCCTGGCTGATCACTAGTTCCTGTAACAGTAGTGGGATTCCTTTTTTTATTCCTTCAGGGCAGGCAGAGCCCACACTGGAAACGTACAGTCCAGGCTTCTCCTCTGCCTGCCCCTGGTGAGCAAGTATGAGCAGGAGTATGAGGAGGAGAGAAATGCTTCAGCCCTAGAGCCCCTGGGGTGCAGTCAGTAATGTCAGTCCACTGGACAGCTCCTAGCAATTGCGTTTGAGAGGGTCTTGCTGGGCTTAGACAGGTCTTCTGCGGGGAGCTTTAGAGTGCTTTCACATGGCTCACAAGTGCAGGGTCTGGGCAGTGTGCGTGTGCACGCATGCACGTGTGCATCCAATGAACGTGGCGGAGATCTAGGCTTACTTGCGCTAATAACACATCTCTCTCTGATTTCAGGAAGTGTCCTTCACCTTTTAAGAGGAAAAAGGAAAAGCAAGGTAAGGATCTGTGAAACATACTCAAGAGAACAGCACCACAGAGAGCAGGAGAGTCCCACAGGCCCAGGGGTGGTGTGAATTTGGTTTCAAAAAGTTCACGTGCTACATCTCCTTTTTTACCTTGACAACTTAGACTGCCGGAGCTCCCCCTAACATTGAAATGACTCAAATCTAGCACCCAGACCAACTGCAGTCACCACGATGGTGCAAAGCAGAAGGCAGACGACTGCCGTCCATGTGCTCTGCAGTAGCGGGGACCTCGCACTCTTGCAAGAGCTGCAAACATCCCTCGTGACGCTGAGCAGAGGAAAATAAATGAACCAGAAGCCCGAGTGCCTCCAGTAGTCCTAGGGCCCGCCCCTGCAAAACACTCCATTTGCCAAATGGCAAAGGACAAAATAAAATAAACAGTAGCTCGGAGCTGCTCCGAGGCCTGACAAGGCAGCTCTCTGTGCTGCCTACCTCCTGCGAGGTACTGCCAAGAACATTGTGGCCCAGAGCGCGTTGTCCTTTCAGGAAACCTCATTTTTCCAAAGGAACAAGCCCGGGCTTTCTTGTGGGAGGTATGCTCCAAAGGCACAGATAGGGTGAGCACTCCACTTGGGCTGGAAAGTTGAGAAAGGTCCAGCAGGGAGAGCCTGCGGGCTAGCCATCTCATCACTGGAAAATTCAAGAGATGGAACAATCAACAGTTAAGTCATGCTGGTTTTCTGGTGTTTCTTTTGCAGGCTCCAGAGCAAGACATGTGAATCCCCAGCACCAAGGCAGCAGGAAGGTAAACAGCCCCTGAAGAGACTTCACTCAGTAGACAAGTTGAAAATGCAGTGTTCAGCTGTACTCTCCTGGGTTAGGAGGGGAAAGTCCCAGGGTTTTCTTGTTCTGTGTAGAGTGCAGGAACAGCATGATTCGTGCACAGGGAAGTGGTGCTCAATGCAGACAAGAACAGCCAGTGTTCATCAAATAGCCGCTATAAGAGATACGCCCCCCCCACCCTTGGGTGAACTGTAGCAAACATACTCCAGTGCAAAATGCAACAACTACAGTACATCACACACGGGTATATGGCATATTTCCAACATAGAGGCACTGGTCTATAACCCTATGGATATGCTATGTATATAGTGTAATGCATGCAGTAGGAAAGGGGGGGCGGGAAAGCTCAGCTTCGATAACACTTCCTGCAGAAGTGGTGGTCTGACTATCACTGGGAGAGCTGTGGGAGCAGCCGGCTGAGACTATAGGGCTACGTCCCTCTCTGGGCTGGCAGAGGCAGTAATGCCGTGGGGGCAATACTGTCATTTCCTGGAGGTGTACCTCCGTTGCCACGCTGAGCACAGTGTGGAGGCCACCTGCTCTGACTCTCTGTGGAGCTGGCATCTGGCATAGCCCTCTAGCTAGTACCAGGTGCAGTGAGTGGTACCCAGCCCTCCAGGAAGTCACAAGTGCGAGGGGGTGGCATGAAGGAGTGGGGAGCTGACTGCCAAGGACTCTTTTCTCCACAAAGGCGCAGGTGTACACCCAAGTCCCGGAGTATCCAGTCTATGCTACTGTCAACAAGCCCAAGAGCACGAAGCGGGATGACAGCGTGCACTACGCAGATATCCAGGTGTTCACCAAGGCTCGGGAGCGCTCAGCTGAAGAGGTGAAGAACTTGCAAATGCAAAATGCCACCGAATACGCCACCCTGAACTTCCCCCGGCCCCGGCTGAAATACGACAGCAAGAATGGGACCCTGGTGTAAGAGGCCCCACAGCCTCCTCCCTCCAGCAAATGTATTTCACAGACTGAGACACTGTTATCACAGACACTTGAGTCTTCCTGAGCATGTGTAGAGGGGCTGGATGTGGACTTGGAGGGCTCAGCAATATATGTTGTAATGCAAGAGATGCTTTGCACCTAGCTCTGGTGAGAAATACATCTGTCCCTGTTGAAAAGATCAAGGATGTTTCTGAGGCTGGCAGCATGCCTCCTTCAGGCTCTCAGAGCCGCTTCCTGAGTAACAAAGAATTAAACTGTAGTTCAGTGCCCCCGGGAGAGGATTTGTGCCGTGGGGCAAGAAGACCAGCCTAGCACCCTTGCCCAGGCACATCTGCAAAGGAACAGCAAAGGATTACATATGAGAACAGGTGGGGCTTTTGCCACCGGCTTTTGTTCCAGGAGTAAAGGGATTCAGCAGCATGTTACGGAAAATGACAGGTGGCTGGTGCCGCGAGGAAGTGGTGTGGACCGTGTCACAAAGGCCCTTGCGCACTGCCTGCCTCAAATACTACCCGTTTTACAGCTTCCTGCCTCAACATGAGCCCCATCCCTACTTTCCTTGGAAAAGCAACATGCTCCAACCATGCATAGCACTCTAATGCCAAGGGCAGAAAGGCAGAGCTTAACGATGAGTAGAAAACAGCTCTCTGAGCTGTCGGGCTATTACAGATGTCCTGAAAGGGAATAACAAGCTTTGAGACATGATCTAAATGGAAACAACTACAATTTAGAAACTACTTTTTTGGGGGCAATATTTGAAACCCCCCGGCCAACATCTAGGGGCAATTCATCCAGGGCACAAAAGCAGTTTGCAAATCTGTGAGATTGGGAAGGAATCATGGCCAGCTTCAGACAGGGCTTTGGACTCCTGCTCCTTCCTGAGTCGGAGGCATGATGTATTCCACAACGCAGGGCGTGTGGTGCGCGGCCCCCGAGAAGGCAAGCAGGTTGGTAGAGCTGGCACCCAGCACCCTGGGACGTCACACGAATCTTTGTGCACTGAAGTGGGGATGGGAGTCAGTCCCAGACATCCTGCTTGGGCCCCCTTGGAAGTGTTATGACCAAATGCCTGCATGCAGTGAGTTTAGTAAGAGGTTTTACTCATTCAGAAAAGGAAAGACAGGTACAAATAATGGGTATGTCTCTTTAGAGATACTTTGGGGACCAGTCCTGCAACTTTTCCATCTGAGCAGCAGTTTCTCATCTGTGATGTCTCATTAACTGTCATTGGGCTCGTATGGGGCTTGCAGGATAAGGTCTTTTCTGAGTGGCAGATAGTGTGTTACGTGAGCGGGAAGGCTCGTTCTTCTGGGGCCCTGCTCGAGCTCCAAGGGTCCCTGCCTTTCCCCTCTGCTCCTTTCGATCTCCGTCATTCCAGGCCCTGCATGGCAATCCGTCTTGCCTGACCTAGGAGGGGTGGATGAGCCATAGGGGCTGCAGCGTGGCATGGGATGCAGTCTGCCCATTTGCCCAGAATTCAGAGACAAGCCTGGGGTCTCAAGTCTAGGTCTTGGGCATGCTTGATTACTTGGCTAGTGGATAAATATGTCCTTAAAGAGAACCATCAGTGCTGGAACTAGACAGAGCCATGGGTTTACCTCTAGCTCAGCCTTCCTCAGCCAAAAGAGAACAAAGTAAGTTTATTGCACAGGTTTCTTTTATATAAACCTTGATAAATATAGATCATCGCTTAGTGGGGAGCCTTTAGTACAGCATCCAGCTGGTCATTTTTAAAAAACAGACTCCGCTCCAGGTCTAAGTGAAACAATCGGCTCCTGCAGAATTCACGGCAAGGAATCTGCCTCCGCTACCAATTTGATTTGAAGTGACTCTTCAGTGGGAAGCAGTGCTGCGACTGGGGACAGCGAGCCATACAAACAGGATATAAGACAAACGCCAAGGACCAGATTCTGGGCTCAGTTGCAGTGATGCAAATCCACAAGTCAACAGAGTTTGTCCAGTTTGTAGCTGGTGTAAATAAGAAGACAATCTGGCTTGAAGAGACTTGTTTTGGGGATATGTCTATTGATGTGTGGATTAATTGAGTCCCTGGCTCTTCTGTATTCTGAGCTAGTGGTAGCAACAATAGAAACTATCTTATAATGAGCTCCTCAAAGCCTGGACTGGTATTTTATCTCTGATTCCCTGGTGAACTCCAGCTCTCATACTTAGCTAGCACTCTCTGTTATTTCTAGAGGTACAATGTATCTGAGTTATAATCAAATGCTCTGAATAGTCACAGAAATAATACAGTAATTCTGCCTGTTTAACAGGCTTTGAATTGATGAAATGTGAAAGTCATACCGGTATGTTTTGAAATAATGAAGAACTTGTATTTGCACTGAATATTGACAGACTCTACAGCTGTAACTACTGTGTTTTCTGGGCTTGTTCCATTTATGACTTAAACGATGAAGGTGTCAAATGTTTCCATAACCGCAGAGGTTTCATTTTAATTTTAGCTGAAGGAACTGCACTTTTCGAGAGATGACTACAGTGGCAGGGGCCAGGCCCTGCACTTCCACGACTCGCATGCAAACTTATGTGGAAAGCAGTTCCAGCTGGGAACAGCCACCAGTTTTTAGAAGGTGATTTCTGACCGGTTGCTATGAAAATAAATATTGTACGAAGAACAATGATTCCTGTTTCCCTTTGGAAAACGTAGCGTCCGCGTTCGTTTGTGGCAAATCCTGTTTCTCGCCCAAACTGCTCTTCCCCAGAAACATTGGGAAGGGTGTTATAACGCGGTGTGAGGTGGGATAAAACGATTTCCCAGTCCACAGCCACTGGCTCCCAGTCCCACCAGGCTTCCAGGATGTGCGTGCTGCTTCCTGAGCAGAGCGGATGTGCTGGGGTGGTTAGCCAAGCAGAGCGGGGTAAGACGCAGCCAGGTGGCGGAGCGCAGGGGCTGTTGGCTGAGCACAGGGAGCAGCAGGAGTAGCTGGTGGAGCAGAGCGGGTATAAAGCTGAACAGCGGTGGTAGTGGCTGAGCACAGGGCGGTGGTCTGCAGGGCACAGGGGGCAGTTAGAGGAGCACAGGGGGCAGTTTGCAGCTCACAAGGGGGCAGTTAACACAGCACGGGGGGGCGGGCAGTTTGCAGGGCACAGGGGGCAGTTAGAGGAGCACGGGGGGCAGTTTGCAGCTAATAAGGGGGCAGTTAACACAGCACGGGGGGGCGGGCAGTTTGCAGGGCACAGGGGGCAGTTTGCAGGGCATGGGGGCAGCTTGCAGAGCATGGGGGGCAGTTTGCAGCTCACAAGGGGCGGTTTCCAGGGCACAGGGGGGCAGTTTCCAGGGCACAGGGGGGCAGTTTGCAGGGCATGGGGGCAGT